AAGTATGATGTATATTTTACCACCAATGCTCCTCATATATGCGAAAGAGACACAAGCCAACGGGGTAATGGGTTCAGCTTAGAACATTCACTAATGCATTGTCAACAGTTCCGAGGTTTTAAGTCTAGATGCAATGGATTGCTGCGATACCCTTTAACTTTCTTCTGGAACTCATCTCCACAATGAATGCAAGAACCTGCCATTCTCAATTTTCAGTTAAAATGTCAACTGCGCATGTTTCGTCATTGTCATGTGATCAGGTCACATGACAGAGGTCATCTTGAAATCCGTCGTTCAATCGATTAAATTACGTTCGGTCTAATTATACACAGAAATATATACTTTTCAAGAAGAAATAGTCCTTCATTTTCGGTCAGTAGATACCTAAGATGTTTGTGTCTGCAAGGATAACTTTTATTCGTTTTAAATTTCATTGAAATCGTTCGATAACATCAAAAATAGCGTGCGCCCCGGGATCCCGGGGCGGCGAACTGTGCGGTTCTCAATGGACGCGATCTGCAGCTCTATGGCCGCAACGTAATATCAAAATAGCTTAAGCGGCCAATAAGAGCTGCTAAACTGCAGCAAGCCTCGACCTTGAGTTCACAATCCACACCGATATTTGGAGGCCCCATTTCCGGCGGAGTATTTAATGTACACGTACATTACAACATTGCCAACAATGATAGTTCAACAATTCCACCGAAAAGACGTCGGATATATGTGTTTGATTCATCTCAGTCATCAGATGAGAACTAAATAATAACTTTCAATCAACGCAGCGTTGACTTCCATGTTTGATCTCGTGGACCATGTTAATGACGTCATGGAGTGACGGGGAAACCCCCGATAAATACTTGTAGTTCCTACAGCTTTTTGATGTATTTAATAGTTTTTACTGCTTTCGTTTTAAGTGTTTAAGTTAAAAATAATGTAATTTGTTTATTTGTATTCTAACTAGTTTGGTGTTTGGATCTTTATTAAAGTTCTTTTTGATCGCTTTTGTCTCTTCAATGACTCTTCACTTTTACTTGTTCGACC